TGTTTTTCCAATTGCATTGCAGAATGAAAAATTTTGAGATACGGCTTTATTTAGAAAACATTTGATTATTTTCATAAAGACAGGGGTAGTTGATATTATTATTATTATTATGTTTATATTTATTGGTTAATTTAATAATAAACAGATCATGGTCATGTGATAGATACTTCGTATTTTGAAATAAAAATTGTAAAAAAAAAATAAAATGCCTCCAAAATCAAAAAAGAAAAAGAAACCCGCTAATCCAGCACGTGGATTTGCTACAAAAAGTACTCCCTCAAAAATAAAAGATACAGAAACAACTGATGACAATGAATCAATTAATAAAACTAATGAAGAAGAAAATTTGCCGAGGGTAGTTGAAAGTGTTAATGATCAGGAGGCTATAGAAGAAGAAGATAAAGAAGACAAATTTTTGATTTCATTGATAGACAAGTTAAAACACATTGATGAAAAGAAAGTTGATAGATATTTCAAAGAATTATCATCATTATCATCAATCGAATTGAATAATTTTGACGATTGGCCAATTTTGAGCCTTGATTCAAATATTGAACATAAAATTATTGAGCATTTACAAAAAGTAGAAAATCATGGTAAATAAAAACTTGGGATTCAGATCTTGTAAAACTTATTATATACAAGAGGATTACGTTAATACTAATGATGTGGAAATTAGATCAACAAAAGATTATGAGCGAATGATTTCTGAATTAGACATAGTTTATATGACATTATTACGCCTTGGATTCAAACAAATTGACATTGAGAAATGTATCAAAACATTAGGAAAAAGAACAAAGTTAAGTCCTGCTTTAGATTGGGTTTGTAAATATTAATATTAATTTTATAATTTATAATTAACGATTCTTTTGATCAGGAAGATAATTAATCCAATTTTTTTCTTTATAAAATAGTTGTGTATAAATATTCCTTCCGATTTTTTGCCAATTGGATTTGTTGATAAATTTTATTATACTGAAGGTAGATTATATAAATCATATACAATTGTAAATTTATAACATGTACCTATTTATAAATTAAATAGTTAATTTAAGAAATATGTATTTCTTTTATTTTTATTAGAAATGAATGTTAATTCAACAAATTTTGATAATTTATTAAGTGAAAAAACACAAGAGGATGATGATGATAATGAGAAATTGTTGACAGAAATGAATCTTAATAATAACAAACATTCAAATAAGCTGAAGCATAAAAATCTATCAAATCCTTCATATGATTATAACAAAGAAGTTGGTAAATTAATTAAATCACGAATTTTGAATACAGTTAAATATAATGTAATAATAATA